AAAAGAATGACACATTTATTGTTTATATTCAAACTGCTACTGAATAGAATATTTAATCTGATATCAACTATGATAGACATTCAGATTGAAAAGACATCTGAACATAAACACATCTCGTCTAAAACCTATAACCTAACAATAAAAGTCTGCAGATGTACCTCACTTCAATACAGTGATCTCATTGACCTCTAATTAATGTCCTGAGTGCAATACCACAGGAAGCAAAAATCATACTTGTCTTCATGTGACAGCGTCTATACATAGATATGGGGGTTGGAGGAAAATGACAGAAGCCAAAGGTTGGTATTAATGTGCTCATTTATGATGCATTGTGGTTCTATAGTGAGGACAGTCTCTGGTAAGAAGCATGTTAATGAAGGAATATTAAGATTCTGAACGTGTGAACAAATCATCAGCACTTTGACACTGATGACAAACACTTCTCTCTTTTTTCTGTGAATCTGAGGTTCTGAGGATTTATTTATCACCCACACTTCAGTCACTTCACTTTTCTGCTCTCAAGCGCTTTACTGTAAATATCTAAAGAACACATCACACTCATATCTTATCTCAGGGTTGTGGCTTTGTCTCTTATACTACTGCTTCTACTACTAATAAGCCACTATGGCAATTACCTACTCTAACTACATATAACAATTTGGCACACATCATAAACCAAACACAACATAGACAACAACACAGTGAATACAATCAAATTCAACAGCACTGATTTACTTACATCGACAACAGGGGTGGAGAGTCAGAGTAAAAGAAAACAACAAAGAAAAGAGTGAGATAGAAATGAAACAAGAGATCAGAGGATAGGACTGAAAGGTGAGGAGCCACCTTCTGCTTTCAAATGCATCAATCGCTTGACACAGAGTTCAGTGTATATCACTTGTATATGAGTAGTGGGTGAGCTTGGCATATCTCCACATTAGCTCACAGACACCTCAGCAGCAGTGGACTTTGTGCACACAGCAGTTGAAGGTAAGGCCTCCGGCTCTTTTTGAAGTGATTTGGGACCATGTATATATCAGTATGTGTGTAACAGCAGGTTTAACACCAAATGACTGACGGCTTTTATACATACACTAAGTGCTTGCATGTATATTGACACATTAATATATACTATCAAGTAAAATGTATTTATTCATAGCTTATTTCCGGAAAATATTGCAGTGTTATCTGGCAAGAAAATGTTTGAGAAAAAGGACGAGTTACCTTGTGAAAAGTAAAAACTGAGTACAGATTTGTATGTTTTCTATTTCTGGTGTGTTTCTTTTGTGAGTCATTTTTCATAAACTCACTTTGGCTGGGCTAACTAACCATACCTTTCAATAGTTGATATTGTACTTATAAAATAATCTCATGGTCATATTCATAAATAGAAAAGTGTTATATGTAAAATAAGTCACAGTGTACAGTTTGATTAGATGGTGTTTAATAGATCTGAATGATCAATGCCAAGCATATTGCTATGCATCATATATGGTCCTGATTGCAGAATACCTTTAAAGCTTGAGATTGTAATGGGCTGCAAACACCACATGCCATTAAAAAGATATATTTCTAGCTTGATTTTCGTTGCGCTATCTGCAGCGGCCATGTGGTGAAACAGAGAAATATATGCTCCTTTTCGTTCTATATGAAACCTTTGAGCAAATTCAGCCTACTTGAAACTCCACAACCCATTACAAAAAAGTTAATATCAAGAGTTTTCATTGTATCATGTCTCATCTGGATGTTTTAAATACAAATCTAGATTTAAAAATGTATACATTACCCTGCAGTATAACCAGAAAGATGAATAGGTTTTTTGGAATCATCTTGCTCTCAATAGTAAAATACTAAAAGACAGAAGTTACCTAGATATTGCTCATTCATCTTGTGTTAATCAATTACACCATCTCTGTTGCTCTGCAAGAACAGTGAGAATATTGTGTTCAATACTTTACATACTTCTATTGGATGGCACAATGAGTTACTAACGCTGTGCCAGTTCCCCATAGAGGGTATTAATTCACTTGAATTTCCCCTTTGGCCACTATTTTTACAATGGCTGGTAGAGTGCACAACAGAGTGTGAGAAAAGATGCTTGAGAGTTCCTTACTAAAAAGCAGACAGGCTAAAATTAGTCAGTTTGAAACAGGTGCATATGTGCAGCAGCAGAGTAGTGAGCAGTGTCCCTGTAAGATTATGTTTCTCTCTTCCTGCTGTTGCTTTTTTTCATGAGCACACAACCTGTATATACCAGTGCATCACACACTGGTATATGCAGTGTGCACAAGATACAAATATGTGGCGTTACAGAGTTTTGTTCTCGCTGGGCACAGGCCTGAATATTTTTAACCGTGTCTACATTTGCACCACAGCCCACAGGGTGCACAGTCTCTGTTTTGATGCTCAAAATATGACAATAAACTACAAAGGACACTATGTGATCATTAATGAGGTTATGGACTGTGAAGTTGTGGTTTGAGCTAAAGTCTAAATGTAAGCTAAATGTGTGAAATCCTAAACAATACTTTATTTTGCAACTCATTCACGGGGTGTCACTTGCATCAAGTATTTTGTGATGTCTGATTAGAAATGAACATATCAGCTATAACCTATTCTGCATGATATAAGATGCGAGGGGCGCGTGAGTGAGTTAAAGCTCAACGTGTGGGTCAGTCTGTGTGCGTTTCTGTGTGTGACTTCACAAACAGGAGGCCGCTGTGGTTTTATCACAATGTTCATCCTTCTCGTACAGCTTCGAATGAAAGAAAACACAAACTCATGTGAAAGAAATAATCTTTTTAAAGCTGCATTTATTTCTCTCTGTCTGGTTTTTCAAAAATGAAAAAACTTCTCCAGGCTGATATTACCATCAGGGTTATGCAACAGAATGGAGAAACCCTGTATGGTTGCCTTTACGTCACCAAAAACATATATGAAGTGAAGTAAGTCGATAGAAGAGGTGGAAAGGGGAAGTAATGACGGGGTGGATACTTAGATCAAAGATGAGGGTGGGGAGATAGAAACGGCAACACTGTCAAACTCACAGTCGACTAAAGAGATGGTTGTTTTTAAATCTGGGTCCATGGATGGCTAAGAGTTGAAATTATATCATTCCTATGGCAAGCGATTGCAAAAACTGCATCTCCACTCAACTGGAACAAGTTTCTGCACAAGAAAACCTTGTTTAAAAGTAATTTCTCTGTTGGAACAGAAAGGTTTCTGCATCATCATCAGTTAAGATTATATTTTGCTTGTTTGAATATGGCACAATATCATTAATATGTAGTTTAGCAAACATCTAATCTGTATATCTGTACAAACTATAGCGAACTCTCAACAATGTGTAAAGCAGACCAGCACGGTGGCAGATGTTGAAAATATAGATTATATAATTGCTGCTAGATGACACTCGCACACTGAGGCTCAGATGCATTAGTTGACTTTCAACCAGATGTTTCCTGACAAATCATCTCATGTGGTTGTTTAAGGTGGGAGGTGAAGTTGGGTGGGGGTTTTGAGTGAAACAGAGTCATATACTCAGTTACGTGAAACAGAGTCATATACTCAGTTATTTTGTTCATAAACACTGAAGATGAAAAGCAACATGTATGCCAGCTGAATCATAGAAAATATAATGCTATAATCTTAGGCCTTGTTTTTTTGAGACCAAATCCAATTATTAGCTACACATTGGTGCTAGTTACCGCTTCTAATTCTATTTGTTACGATACAGTAGCTGAGAAAAGCCTACACACATATGAAGCCACATTTAAATCCACCATGTTTTGTGTTAATCTCTCAGATAGTTTTTTTATAATCTTGCTCACAAACCAACCAACAGAAGGGTGAAAACATAACCAAACCAGGGGTTGTAGCAAGTAAATGACTATGTTGAGTTTTTTTTCTCTCAAACTGGAAAACCTGCAAGATTTTCAAATTAAAAAATGCTTCTCCACCTCAACATTTCTGCACAGCAGATTTTTGTTTTCTTTGGGAGTGAAGACTGCATCACAGTGAAACCAACTCGCCCAGAATTAAAATCACAGCAGGTCACAGGTCTACATTAGATATTTCTGCCACTTGCACAGTAATTTATGTCAAACTCCTCACGCAGTCTTTAAAAATCTTATGTTATCGTATATTGCAAAGACAAACGTCCATGAAAACAGTAATTGAAGGTCAAGGGGCCCTACGAGGGTGGACCAGACAGATAACACTGCAGAAACACTGTGAGAGGTCTAAGCAAAAATGTTATATGCTGAGACGATACAACCGTGATAGTGAGAATGTAATATTATGGGCTCCATCCTGGGGACCTTAGTGAGAGCAGACCCTAGTTCCGCCTACTACCAGTGTTTTGTTGTTCTCATAATGAATAAACATCAACATAGAATTCTACCATTACACCACAGTGACGACAAACCAATCAACAGCAAGATGAAATAAAACATCAATCAGATAAGGTTACACAAGAATGGTTGGTTGTATCACCCAGCCTCCTACACAAGACTGAAAACCTTCCGCTGTTCTTTTTGATTTCAGGTCGCAGTTGGTTGTTACTCATATTTCATAGACCATGGAGCATCTCTCCTTAGCCTTTCACAGAGGCCATGACAGCCATGTTTTAAAAGTGGGAAATGAGCTGGTGTATAAAGGACCCCGTCGTAAAAGGGAGTTCATACCTGAGGAGAAAAAGGATGCCCTCTACTGGGAGAAACGTCAAAAGAACAACGAGGCAGCCAAACGGTCCCGGGAGAAGAGAAGGATGCATGACTACGTGCTGGAGACTCATCTCATGGCCCTGAAAGAAGAAAATGACAGACTCAGTGCTGAATTAATGGCCATCAAGCTCCACTTTGGCCTGGTGTACCCTGCAAAACACACTGTTCATCAGAATAACCCACTGCAACACCACATCCACAGCAGCAGCCACCACCTGCCACTGCAGAGGGACCACGACAGGGGTGACAGAGACTCTCCCTCTGTGCTGAGTCACCAGCCTTTTCACCCCCTTTTCATTCCTGCATATGCCCTCCAGACCATGAGAGGTTATCCATACTTAAACGGTAGTAGCAACTCTAGCCCTGTCACTCCCCTCGTTCTCTTGCCCACCCATTCAACCCTCCCGGGAGCTTCTCTGCTGAAACCCATCGCTAGGAAAGCTACCTCAGATGAAGGGGAGCAGCAGATCCCTGGGGGGCTGTCCTTGTCATGCTCCACTCCGCCTCAAAACATCACCAGCAGACATATAAACACCTTAGAATAACTCATTTTACTTTAAGGTCCAGTGTGTAAGATTTAGGTGAAATGGAACTATTGGCAGAAATTTAATGTAGAATAATTCTCATGATGTTTTCACTAGTTCATGTCATCTAAATTGTATGAATTGTAGTTTTCTTTACCCCAGAAAAGACCCTTTATATTGAAATACTTTATATTTACATGGAGGGGGTCCTCTCTACGGAGCCGCCATGTTTTTTCCATTTGTCCAGACTGGACAAACTAAACACCTTTTGAGTTCTATGACAATTAACGGCTACCACAGGTTCTGTTTCATGTTCGGAAGGAGAGTGTGAGGTGAGAAATATATATTAAAAACAAGTAACATGCTACTCCAATACATTTTACAATGCAATGAATACACCAGATGAATGAAGTAAATGTACACCACTGCTCATGCTTTTTCTTTTTGTTAACGTGTTGGTAAGAACTGTCAGTTCGATCACTTTGTTGATGGACCTACTTGTGTGCTAATGTTAACCAGCAGCTGTGATATGGGAGAAGTTCTCATATTTATTGTGTGACTTTATGTATCTAGTTTTCTGACAAAAGACACTCCTTGTTTCATTGCTGGCCAAGATGGACCATGGAGAAAACGTGCTCGTCTTCCTTTTCAGAAAACTGATTCTGACCAGCAGGGGTGTTGCAACAAGGTTGGCAATTGTTGTGAGCTCTCAGCTTTGAGCTGAGCTCAAAGAACATCTGGATAAATTAGTCCACAGCGATTGTTTAGAGCCCCCCAGGTCCCTTTTACCCAGGGTCCCCAAACTACCTTGAAACACCCCTGCTGAGCAGTATGCTGTGTGTGTGAGGCTGCTACAGATACCTTTCCCTTCTGTTCTTTTACTCTGTCACCCAACACAGATCTATATAGATATGTAATGTGTACAATAAACATTCAAAGAGATATTGTGTCTTAGCATCTGTAATTATTTAACACCTGACCAGTAAGCTGATTTTTACCATCAATTTGCAAAACTTCAGTTTGAAGTGAAAAGCAATTGAAAACATGTGACTGAAGACATTTTTCTTTACATTTTTAAATATGTGACATTTCTAAGGTTTCACGTGGGACCAGTTGCAATCCTCCTCTAAATGGAAACACTGAAGAATGATTTTGTTTGTAGTCACTTTCCACACAATATGACTACTGTGTGTAGTTAAATCTTTCAATATGCTAGTATGAACAGAATGGCACTCGCCCAGCAATCCCCTTAGATTCAGTAAAGCTACATATCAGTTATCTAAATGTGTCTGATTCTTTATTTTTTATTTAATGGTTTCTTCCCTGACGTTTGCTGCAGTTTTCATGGAAACTCATTCAGTTATTTTTGTGCGATGTTGCTAACCAAAAAAACAAGAACACCCCAACCAACCAACAGTTAGGGTTGTGTAATGTTATTCCTTTACCAAAATCCTACGTGGCTAATAAAGGTTACCCGGAAACTGATAAGTCTGTTTCAACATGCTCTCCCAACAGACATGGAGATAAAAAAAAGCTGTTGTCAAATAAAGCTTTTAACAACTGCTTTTTTAGTGTCTACGAGCAGACCCACAAATAATGAGATTTTATGAATTACGGTATATGAATATATAAAAGGAGGCAGTAAAATATATTATAGTTTCACTAACCTTATATGCTAATTTAGCATTTAGCATTTAAAAAATATTAATGTAGATAGCCTGAATAAGTGAGCCAATCATTATAGTATCATTATAGTAAGAAAACAAATGTGAATATCATGCTTCTGCCTGAGCCTTTTCAGTCAATATATAGAGAAAAGACGGTTTAGACTTTGTTTACACTACCTACCTACTGTATATTGTTGTTATATTGTTTATACAATGTGTGATGATTGAATAAAAAAAATCTCCAAATTATCGTCCTCTCTTTCACAGTAGATCTATAGAGGCGCATAGCCTGAATTTTTTTCTCTGCAGTCTTGGTTATCTGGTTGATGAATAATATTTTCCAACCCGCATTTTACAATACACCTACACATAGGTTTCAGAGCTCCTGCTGCACTTAACAAGTTCATAATAGTAATAAGAACTGAGAATAGACCAAGATGTAGTCCTGGGTGAAACATCTCATGTTGTATAAATGAAACCTCTCAAATGTGATGGGTGGACCTGCTTTAATGTAGTGATGTCAGATGGTAGTGATGATGCAGCTACTTACAGCTGCTCTTCCAGGTTTGGGTCAGTCTTGAGTGGAACCATCTTTCCAAAAGTAACTTTTGCAAAACCGAGCTGTAAACTTCAGCGCAGGTCTCTCTCGGACTGGAAAAATCCTGAGGGAAATACATACAGATAATAAAAGCTTGAACAGAGGGTTGTTATTTTAGCTTTGCACATTAGTGAGTTGCAACCTAAACACAGCAAATATGTAAAGTACTTGCCCCGAGATATCACATTATAGGCGGGGATCATGTACATATGCTAAATTTGAAACACACTAAGATGTGAGAACTGGTTTTTGAACCACACTAAGTCAGATGTCAGAACTGTTTGTTTTTTATTTACAAAAGGAAAATGCTGTCACCCTTGCCTCACCCTGCATGCAGTGTGCAGGAATTCCGCTCTTGTATAAACTCTGCAGTTATCCACACACAAAATGTTGAATTGTGATGCTATTTATCACGTCTGTTTCATCACATCACGAGAGATGATGAAAATCTAAACATTTCTAGCAGTGCCCATTAGCAGTTTTTATTTTTTAATACCTTGTGCCATTTTAGTAATCTGGTCTGTCAGTCTTCTAAGGCAGACATTGCTCTTGACTACGTAACCTTCTACAAGTTATTTGTTTTAGGGCATATGCACAGTTTAATAGGCTTTAAAGACCATTATCTATCTTATCTATCACACCAACATTTTCTACTTACAAGTGGGCGTACATTACGTTGTTAACATTTATCACTTCACACCATCAACAATGAACACAGGTGGCAGCTGAGTCATAACTGAAAAGTAAAAAATCAAAAGCTTACTTTGGTTATGGTTGTAAGTTGAAAAATGAAGTGAACACAACATTCAAGTCATTTTGTCTTGGCACACTGAAGACATAATGACATTCTGGGAAATCTGACAAGAAATACTCAAGCAGACAACTGCTGGAACGTTCAGAGAATTGACGTGACGATCTGGATGAGAGTGAAGGAAAACAGACAAACTGAATACACAGGTAAAACTGATTAAGGTAATCAACAAAGGGCGGGAAGATAGACAAAGACAGGAAGTGAATTGCTGTGGAATGAGACACAAAAGTAAGTACCTAAATAAAACAGGAAATACTAAACTCACATCAAATCTAAACTTAAGGGACAAGAAGGTGGAAGTCAACAAACACAGCAATATTTACAACCTCGTGCAACAAGGTACATTTATTTGATAGTGTACATTTTTCATGTGGCTGCAAAGTAGATTTATTTAGTTTTCACTTTTACTCAGCTACATATGTCAGCAAATATCTGAAGGCCAACTTTCTATACTGATGACTGGACAATGGAGGATCAGGCAAAACTCTGAAACTTTAATGCAGGCAGAGGTCATACACAGGAGGAAGAAAGTTACAGGGAATCCAACAAGTCTACACAAGGAAGTACAAGTACACAGAGAATCTGGCAGGGAAGAGGTGTGTGAGCAGTTGTGTGTATATACTGGGTGAGTGAATGATGATGAGGTGCAGGTATTGGGTGAGTGCTGTGGCAGGAACCTGAACAATGGGAGGAAGTGAAGTTAAAATCCATGAACAGAGCAAGTGAAAAACAAAATATATATTATATCATCACATCATCACAACTCTGATTCAATCAGAGTGGGCAACATTAGGCCCTACCTCCTTCAATCTGATTAAGAGGGCTGACTCATAAATCATGAATNCTGCTTAACAGGTCTCAGCGGCAGTAACAAAATAGTTAAATGTTAAAATTATCATAAGAGCTCAAGGGGTTTTATTATCAGCCAGTTTAACAAGTTTAACAAACAACAAAACAGAAACTGCCTTTTTACAGTTATGTTATAAATTTTCCTACTGACTTAAACAAAATTCTTGGTAAATGATTATTTGCAGCTTATCTTCTGATCTGCTGGTCAACTATGACGGTCAATTGTTTGTTTAACACCTGCTAACCACTATATTTCCAAATGTGTCATTACACACACACACACCAACACACACCCACACACACAAACACACACCACATTGCAGTTACCTATCAGAGTCAACATCATGTAAATGGAAATAGCTTTGTTAAAGAAGAAGTTAAGTGTCAGTACACTTAGTCTCTTACTCAAATATAAGAGATACTTGATGGGAGGGTTTCAGAGCACTTTACATTTTGCCACTGCTATCTGTATCGTTAAAGTATAAATAAATTAAAATAAATTTAATGTGGGGTAGACCATTTGATAAGTATCTGTCAGTGTGTCATGCTTGGTTGATCACACCTCACCTCAAAATGCATAGGTCACACAGTCAACTCTTGACTAGGGCGTAAAAGTAAAAATGAAAAGAGAGTCATTTCCCTGCAACATGTGTTTTGCTAAAGGTCTAATTTGAATCTAGCAGGAATATGCTGTAACCCTATATGTTGTAAATATGCATCTAATTAACAAATGTGAAACATTAAGGAAATTCTCTTTCCTATCCTTTTCTTCTCCAATTTCAAAACTACTAGACATGGTAGGTATTAAAATATGGAGAAAGATATGACACAGTAAAGAGTCACAGCCGTGAGAAAGTGTACATGAATGCTGAATGATTTAGATTCTGGATCAAGACAAGAAGAAGGGAAACAACTCATTTCTTATCAAAGGCCATTATAATATTCTCCAAAGACACATGTCACACTAACCTCTGCAATGGTTGGAATGGCTCCTCTTTGGTGTGGCGTCTGATGGTAGTGATGGCGATGCTACGTCCAGATTTTTTTTTTGTCAGTCTTGAAGATCATTTTAAAATGATCTGATGGACGTTTAGCTCTACTTTAAATCTGAAAACACATTTCATGTGACAGTTAAGCCTGCAGGTCTCAACAGTAAGCAGAGCGTTGCAGAAAAAAATGGCTTTGTAAGAGTCCCGCTCACATCTTCCTAAACAAATTCAAACCTCAGGTTAGTGTTGTAGCACATTAGCTGGTTTTATTTAAATCAGCTCGAAAATATCTTTGTATCTTTGTTTGCTTCATCAAATTATTCATTAAGTTCCTGGAGGAGGGTGGAAAACTCATCACACTTTTTAAAATGTTACAGGAGGTCACACAGGACATCTTGCCATAGCATTAGCACAGATAATGTCTCCCATGTCAAAAGTGATCCATGCATTAAAATGATGAGACT